CACAATGGGCTTTTGTGAGCTGCACACAGGTGATACTGAGTCTTCTCGATTAATAGATTATAAACTATACCATGTTTAAATAGACTCCTAAGTTATTATTTCATATGTACCATATGTAAGAAAAGGGAGGGAAGAGTCAATTATATTGAGTAATTTATTTTATATTGGGTAATTTATTTCTCAAACCTATGTTTTATGGAAGAGACAAAATATTTCTGATAAACTAATATTTTATCAAAAGGTAAATGGTGAATTAATATACATTTAGAATCATTGAGAAGGGGTTATATCCACAGGGACAAGCTCACCTTTAACTTACAATAACATGTCTCTGCTATGGACTGATGAGTATATGATTCTTGCATGTTCAATGACTAACACAAACCTTCAAAATGATAATGTGCATGTGTCAGGAAGGCTCCCAAATCATTCTGAGGGGCCTATTTTTGTAATTAAATGATAATGTGCTAATCCATTACTTTGAGTTGTCTTCACTCAGAAAAACATCCCTATCAGGTGTTAACCCAATAACTAGGACATCTCTCAAGGCCAAGGGTCAGAGAGAGAGAGGGTCACACTCTCCGGGTGCAGAGAGCACCCCCAGCCACGTGCAAGGAAGCACGAGGTCGTTCGAGATGAGATGCTTCTCTTCACCTTTCTGATAAGATGGGATGCCTCTCTTCACCTTTCTGATAAGATGGGATGCCTCTCTTCACCTTTCTGATAAGATGGGATGCCTCTCTTCACCTTTCTGATAAGATGGGATGCTTCTCTTCACCTTTCTGATAAGATGGGATGCTTCTCTTCACCTTTCTGATAAGAGGGGGTTCTTCTCTTCATCTTTCTGCTGAGAGGGGGTTCTTCTCTTCACCTTTCTGATAAGAGGGGGTTCTTCTCTTCATCTTTCTGATAAGATGGGATGCTTCTCTTCATCTTTCTGATAAGATGGGATGCTTCTCTTCATCTTTCTGCTGAGAGGGGGTTCTTCTCTTCACCTTTCTGATAAGATGGGGTTCTTCTCTTCATCTTTCTGCTCGGTGGGCTCTAGCAGACAACCCTGCAGGACGAGCGAGGGCTTCAGAGGCTTCTATAATACAAGGTTCCATGTTTCTTGGAGGAGTTTGATGTCTTCCTAACCTCTCCCATCACGGGGGGGACACCTGGATGCATCAGGAATACGCAGTTGCTCTCAAGCAGATAGCAGAAGGAATACCGGCAGGTGAGCCTCCGTCTCACTGGGGGGTCAGCTACAGTGCTCACTGAATGAGCCACACAAAAGCAGAGCAATTGGGGGGTTGAAATATGGCGCTCTGATGAAGAAGAGTTTGAGCCAATCAGCACCTCAGTGCTAATCTACAGTATCAGGATGCCTTTACACACCAGACACTCGGTGTCATAAAGGGAGGAGGAGAACGAGTCAGGAAGCCTGACGGACATGTTCTTCCAGCTCTCGTACAAAGATGAACTTTGAATTGAATGACCAGATGTTTAAAGATGTACAATTAATGATTGTTTTTTATATTTCCAATGACCAGACATGTGTTAAATAATGGTGATAAATATATTTAGTCAGATCAGATTACACTTTCACACTAAACAAAATTAATAAATAAATATTTTCAGATTATAAGGTATTGAATAATAAGATATTTCTAATATTATAACAGATAATGTTAATATCCTTAATCATCCAGCAATCAGGCTTAACAACACTACTCTTTAATGTATTACCCATGCACAGACAGACCTAAAATGATGTTTCAAGTACTGGATTCATTTCAGTTTTGGCCCAAAACAAATATTTATAATAATTCATATAACAATTATGCAGCATATTTGATCCTCAAATTAGAGAAGTATAATTTAAAGAAATTGATATTCTATATTCAACATTAGATAAACACAGAAGAACCCTTTCCAAGTACCATAAGTAGATGTTCAGGTAAGTATGGCTAATAAGAATAATTGATAGACTTAATTTGGTACAGATCAGTGGTAGCATTTACAAATGCATGAATTAAAGTTTTAAGAATGTTTAACTTTTCCTTTTCAGATTTTGAACAATGTACTTGACTAAAATGAATGTACTGATTTTTCTAAGACTAAGTGCCTTACTCTTGACTAAAGCGTAATGAAGTAAACGTAAAGTAATCCTAAAATTGAGGACACTGCAACTTTGTGGATTACAGATTGATCAAATCACCTGTGAATTTATGCCTTAGCTGGATCTCTGATGATCCTAAGTTTTAAATGCTTTTGACTAGTGATTGCCTTAAAGCAAATCTTTAAGCTGCAAGCTGGTTTTGATTTTATAGTTTGATAAATGACATTAACTAATGGTTTAAATGATAAAAGATATTAGTTTAGAACAAATATTTTGCTATTATGTATCTGTGTTTTATGTGTGTTCATTATTATGCTTTTGACAAAAGATGCTCCAAACACTGATGAGAGATAATTGTTCCTATTATGATTGCCTGTATCAATCATTGTGATTGAATGTTTCAATCTTATTCTACTTTGTGATGTAATTGAATGTAAGGTGAGACCACGCTCGAATCTGAAGACGCCTATTGATTTAAGTATTGACCAGAATTATTAGACTAATGTTTTAAGGTTATCAAAAATGATAAAAAGAGAGGAACTGTTAAGGAATAATTCTTCTAGATATCTAACCTTTTGCTCTGTGACGTTTTATGATCTACTCTGACGTCTGTTATCTCCTTTAAGGAAAGGCCTTGGTGCCATATGTGTTGTCGTCACCAGTGTGTGACCGGTCAACTTGTCTGGCACGAAGGGTAATTGTTGTGAGAACACTGAGGCACTTCTTTCTCGGTGTTTGTGGACTCTAAGATGTGAAATCTTTGAGGCCATGAGTGTCGGACGCAGGTGGCTCAGTGTTCCCAGCTGTTTAGTCTACTCCTTCAGAGATGTTGATTCTCTGTGAACCAGTTCAAAGGTCTAGCATAGAGAGAGGCTCTTCAGAATTGACGTGGCAACTCTACCATGTAGTCAGAACCTCTGACTCTTTGATTTGTGATGTGAATCCTCCGGCCGAATACTCTGAATAAACCCATCAGTGTTTGACATCAAAGCTCCAACTCTCACCGTGTCTCCTTCCTGAGTCGGTGACTCCATGCATTGCTACACAGAAGTTTCCTCCACACTTATTATATGTTGTACTTTGGATTCCTAAAGCTTTTAGTCTACTAACCCATCATCCAAGGGTAGTTTTCACTATAAGTAAAAAAGAATTTTTGGACGGACACTATCATTTACAGTTTTTTACTATGTAAAATCTGAATTTTCATTAAAATAAAAAACATCGATATTGATTCTGACTTTTCTACATCCAACTCACAGGTTTATCATTACTTTGAGAACAAAGATTATTAATTTAACCCTTTTAGAAGGGAAGATATGGTCATTTGTTCTGGGAATGGCATTTTCGAGCCTGAGACCTGAAAAACAGGCTCAGGGCTTAACAGGTTAATGGCGCGTTTCCACTACACGGCCTCGCTCGGCCTCGCTCGGTATGGCTAGGCCTCGTTAGGACTGGCTCACTTTATGGCGCATTTCCATTACAGTTTAGGAACTGGGGTAGTATCTATAGTAACGCAGTGTAGGCGGAGCCGTGACGTGATCTTCAGAGAACCCCAGAAAAACAACACAGCCGTTAGCTGTTAGCACTCAGAGCTCACAGCTCCTCATATATGTTCAGAAACTAGACAAAAGTTAAACAAGTACAAACCACAGACTGCCTGTGTCATGGTGAATACAGTCGCTGCTTTATTTATGTCTGTATAGGCCGTTGTTGTGAGTGTGGACGGTCGGAGCATATACTGCGTTAGCTTAGCCAATCTCCATTTAGAAAACAAGCATTTTAAAAGGTTTTTCCCCTGCCGTCTGTCTGCAGACTTGACAAAGCATTAATTCATGGTCTTTACTAACCGGTATCAGTATGTTGTTACTTCGGCATCATTTTGAAACGTGTATTACAATTAAATCACGGTCAAATATGTCCATCTTGTTGTAGTTGTAGCCCCCTTGCCAGCGATTCTCTCTCTAGTTTAGCATATTCAGCCCGACTCAGCCTCGTTGTCTCTGGCCCTAGACCCACGATTTTATGAGGCCAGAAAAACTGTGAATTAGGACCCGCCGGCCGGTACTAGGCCAAGTGGAAACGCAACCAAAGACGGGCCGCTGACGTCACAGCCCTCTTAAACCGGGCTGCGCGCTGTAGTGGAAACGCGCCATAAAGTAGCTTAATTCAACTGATGAGTGCAATGTGAATACATTTAAGCTACTTGCGATGCAAGTAGCTCTTGGCCACTTTCATTTTTTCAAAGTAGCTCTCAGATGGAGAAAGGTTGGAGACCCCTGCAACATTACTTTTTTGCCAGCTTTCTTATTTCAATGTATTGAAGGCAAAGGTTATTTAACACACAGTGAGAACTGCTACTATTTATCGCTTTATATTCTGTATGTGGTAAAAGTGATGATTTCAGTGAGACAACCGAACAGAGCAAGCTTCTACAGTTGCACTAAGTTTTGATAACAGATCAATATTATTTTGATAATAAAATATATTTGAATGTTGATTAACTTCATTCATAATCTGATTGTCTTTGTAGCTCACTATTGAAAAATGGATTATATCTAAACACAAACACACCTCTTTCATAAATAACACACTTGCTCTGCAATAATGTCATGTTTTATGTTTCCTGTCATTTCTGTTAGGAAAGGACATGCCTGAAAGACACGACTCAGCTTTTTCTCTTTCTCCGAGGGTCAAGAAGAACATCCACGGGGAAAAAGGTGGATGTTATGAGATTTAAGACCAGTACAGGACATTCACTAAGACGCTACACTTTTATTGTGAAAACAAAGACCTGCACACTGAACAGTTTTGTAGTAACAGGACCATCATTTGTTTGTGACGCTGCACAAAGGTTATTGCCCATAATAAAGAGAGAGATAATAAAGAGGGAACATACCTGCTCTGTGGATCTGAAGCTGAGGCTGTAAAACAGCGTCCAGTAGTTTCCGGCGTCTCTCGTTCTCCTGTTTTGAGCGAGACAGTTCCTCCTCGTACTCTGCTATCGTTCTTTCAAACAGAACAAAGATGTCTTCAGCAGCCGCAGTGAGTCGCTGCTTCACCAACGAGAGCAGCACAACACTCATGTTTACTAAATCACCACTTCCTGTTAAACACACTGTTTCTCCGTGTGCTTCAGTCTCTGTTAAACACACCGTCTCTCCGTGTGCTTCAGTCTCTGTTAAACACACCGTTTCTCCGTGTGCTTCAGTCTCTGTTAAACACACCGTCTCTCCGTGTGCTTCAGTCTCTGTTAAACACACCGTTTCTCCGTGTGCTTCAGTCTCTGTTAGACACACCGTTTCTCCGTGTGCTTCAGTCTCTGTTAAACACACTGTTTCTCCGTGTGCTTCAGTCTCTGTTAAACACACCGTTTCTCCGTGTGCTTCAGTCTCTGTCAAACACACTGTTTCTCCGTGTGCTTCAGTCTCTGTTAAACACACCGTTTCTCCGTGTGCTTCAGTCTCTGTCAAACACACCGTTTCTCTGTGTGCTTCAGTCTCTGTTAAACACACCGTTTCTCTCTGAAGCTTCCTGAGCTGCTGTTCAGCTGGACGGCAGGAAGCAGAGGTTTGGGAGGATGATGTCTCTGATGCTGTTTAGATTTCTCCAGCACCACACAGGGTTCTGTGTTGATGGCAGCTCCTTCCTCAGCAGATCCAGTTCTCCAGAATTGTCCTAATAAAAGAGAAACAAGAGAAAAATAACAACATTAATTAATCTTAATTAATTATTTTTTTGGCAGATTGATATGATGATCTCCGCGCTACGGGTGCTCCGTGCGTGCATGCAGTGACATGTAATATCCAAGGATTAGAGACGGTTGGATGCTGCTGTTTTGCACATTGCAATATATTTATTTTCACTATGTTATTTATTTATGATTATCTTTAGGCTCAGCAAAGATTTGATGTCAGCTGTTGCTGTCTTTTTTTCTTTAGTTAAGAGCCCTGCTGTTTTGTTAGGGCTTTTTCTTGAAATACACTTTTAAAATGTCGATACAGTAGCTGTCCTACAATCATTTATATTAAAAATGTAATTTTTACTTTTGAATACTTCAGTACAAAGGATGTATTGAATAATGTAAGTGATATATGTGTACACATATAAATCATTAAGTTGAGTTAATAACTGGAAAAAGTGCCCAAGCCTCCTGGACAGCCACGAAAAGTCTCATTTTCACAGAGTGTGTTTAAAAACAAAGTGCGCTTACTTCAGTCAAACACCAGTCAACATACAGCTTGTCAAATAACAGCGTATTGAGCAGGAAAAAAGGAGAGATGGAATGATGGAGCAACTGCGCTGTCTGCAGTTTCTAACCCGACAGGGCCTAGCAATCAGGGGGCATGCCAAAAGCTAGTCGAACTCGTAGCTGAGAAAAACCCCACTCTGAAAAGCTTCTGCTCGCCGGGAAATATGCATCACATGAGACAATCAATGAAATTATACATCAAATGTATCGGGAGTCTCTCACCCCTCTCTTAACTGAAATGAAAAGCAATGCAAAACACTATGCAGTTATTGTGGATGAAACAGTTGTCTCTGACTGTACGATGGGTATCAGCTGATTATATCTACAGGCACTAGCGAGTGATTACCACTCCGCTAGTGCCTGTAGATTTAGCATTTCTTGACCATCACATACTTGGACACAATCGTGTCCCTGGAACACCGGGGACACATATTCATGTGTAAAAGACGTACAAAAGTGCATTTTGCATGATAGGTCCCTGTAGCTCCCTCCAGTAAATGACACGAGGCTGAGGTCTTGATTAAATACGGGGTTTATTCTTGTGGGACCTATTCCAACCCGTGAGAACTGGGTTGTAAGACAACAAATATATAAAGGGTGAACAACAAATAAATATGGAATATATACATATGTCATCACTGTTAATGCCGCTAAATAAACAATAAACGACACGCATATCCCACACAGCATGTAGCACAAGCTAACAATAGCATGTAGCACAAACTAACAATAGCATGTAGCACAAGCTAGCGCATAGCATACATACATATATATATAACCTGCAGCTCAACCACACACATTTACACAAACAACCAGCACAAAAACGTACCTCGTAGGCTGCTAGTCATCTATAGGGGCTGATCACTTTAAACTGCATTTTCCCATAGTTTCCTTAGATTTTCTCTGAGACCGAACCGACATTTTCTTTGTTTCCTCGTCACCGGCGCGCATTGCATCCTGGGATACGGTGGGCTACGAGGAAGAGGACTCTTCGGGAAAAGAAGAAGGCCGTATTCCAACCCGTCCCTCCCCCCTCTCTTCTGTCTGTCCGCAGAATCAGAAGTCCTTTATTGGTCTTACAGAGGGACATTAACATGGTTACAGCAACAGTGGAGATAGATGCTGCTCCCAGACCGTAGTGGAGGAATACAGGGGAGGACTCTCTGCAGTCTTCCCGGACTGAAGCACCAGGCTTCGGCTTCAATAACCCCAAGTTCCTTGGGAGGCCACTGTGTTTCCTCAGGACTTTGTTATACAGCTAACTGGAGACAGACTGATCACTGCTGCTACTCCCGCTCTCTTCCGGACACACACTACGCTCCTCTTCTTCTTCTTCTTTTCTTTAATGGCGAATTGCTTCCACTTGGAGCTATATCGCTATATAGCTATATATATACTATATCGCCACCTACTGTTGATTTATTAAATGTTTATATTAAATCCTTGTCCTCAGACCAGTGCTTTTGAGGAATTTGAAGATCAGCTTGTTTGCTTCATTTCTTGATTTACTTTCGTATATTGACTTGAAATCCATGTCCTTGACGTTGAGTTGTTCCAGTGCAGTTTTCAGAATGAGTCTTTGTCTGTTATAATCCGTGCAGCTAAAAAATACATGATGTATTGTCTCTGGTTGTTGGCAACCATCACAATTGCCATTTGTATGTTTTCCAATCAGATGCAATGATGAGTTTAATCCAGAGTGACCCACTTTTATCCTGCTGTTAATGCTCTGTTCTCTTCTACTACTCCCTCAAGTGCTTCCCGTTCCTACTTCCCTTTGTATCTGGTATAAATGTCTTCCTTTGGTGTTACTGTCCCATAGTTTTTGCCATTGTTGCTTGATAACAACTTTTGTAACAGATTTTACTTCTGCTCTACTGATGGGTACCATAATATCAATCTGGTTTGCTTTCAAACCACATTTTGCCAGTTGATCCACTACCTCATTCCCTCTAATACCCACATGCGCTGGAACCCACACAAATTGAACAACAATTCCCAGATGAACTAACCTAAACATGATGTGTAACATTTCATGTAAAATATCCTGTCGACATTCTGAAGAGAAGTTGTTTATACTCTCCAGAGCTGCACTGGAGTCAGAGCAAATGACCACTCGCATTGGCTGTATTTCCTCTACCCACTGAAGTGCTAGTGAGATAGCCATCATCTCTACTGTATATACTGCGATGTGATCACTCGTCCGCTTTCCCACTTTGACTTTTAATTCAGGAACATCAAATGCACAACTAGTTTCACCATTTTCTGGATTTGTGGATCCATCAGTAAATATTTGTATAAACTGCCCATATTGTTCATGTAGAACAGTATTCACATAAACCTGTACATTAATTTTGTTTTTCATTGAATGTAACCATTTCAATAAAGATAAATCTACTATAGGTTGAGGTAGCAACCATGGTGGAACAGCTGATAACAACACCGTCGGACTAATATTCCATTCTTTAACTTTGAATTCCTTACATAACTCCGAAACACAAACACAAAAACTTTCTTTTTTCATTTTGTTACTTTCCCAACTTGTTTTTACAGTTTGTTTAGTAGGGTGAGTATCTTTATGGCCCTGTAGATTTGCCCAGTAATTAACAATTAACTGTTTTCTCCTCAAAAAAATGGGTATTTCTCCGACCTCTACCTGAAGTGCCGACACTGGTGTAGATCTGACTGCCCCACAGCATATCCTTAGTGCTTGTGCCTGGACTCTATCTAATTGTTGAAGAGAAGAGTATGCAACTGAACCATACACTATTAATCCGTATTCTATGGCTGATCTAATTAATGCTGTGTATACGTTCCTCAAAGCAGCTTGATCAGCCCCCCACTTAGTGCCTGCCAAGCACCTCATAACATTTAAAACCCTTTTACATTTATCTACTACTTTATCAATGTGAGTACTCCATGTGACTCTCTCGTCCAACCATATTCCCAGAAACTTAAATGTCTTCACTTTCGTTAGTTCTTGTCCATAAAGTTTTACCCTAACCTCCTCACCTATCCTTTTCCTCGTGAAAAATAAAGTTTCAGTTTTTTCCACCGACAATCTAAACCCCCATGTCAGAGACCAGCTTTCAATTTCCGTAATGGCTTCCTGAATCTTACCTACAATATAATTTACATTTCTGCCCCTTTTCCAAATAGCTCCATCATCTGCAAAAAGTGACTTACCGATATCAGATCCTGCTTGTGTATATATATCATTGATCATGATAGAAAACAAAAGAGGACTAATTACACTCCCCTGCGGGGTTCCATTTTCAACTTCATGCCTTCGAGAATAAGAATTGCCAACTCGGACTCTGATGGCACGGCCAAACAAAAAATCCATAATCCAATTATATACATTACCTCCCAGACCCATAATGTCCAGTTTTATTAATAATCCTTCCTTCCACATCATATCGTAAGCTTTTTCCACATCAAAGAATACAGCTACAACACACTCCTTATTCGCTTGGGCTTTCCTAACTTCAGATTCCAGGCACAGCAGGGGGTCTAAAGTACTCCGCCCTCTTCTAAACCCACTCTGATAAGGAGTCATTAGTTCATTTTTCTCAACGTAGTATGTCAGCCTTTCTGTTATCATTCTTTCCATAACTTTACACAAGTGCGATGTCAGAGCTATAGGTCTATAACTGCCTGGACTAGTTGGATCTTTCCCAGGTTTTCTGATAGGAATAATGACAGACTCTTTCCATATTATTGGCAGCTTCCCTTTCTCCCAAATCTTATTATACATCTCCAACAGCTTTCCTAATGCAAAATCACTTAATTTGGTCAACATTATATAACATACATTATCTTTCCCAGGAGCAGTCATTTTACACTTACTTAATGCTCTTCTCAACTCTTGAATAGAAAAAGGTACATTTACAACACTCTGCGACGAATGTCT